GTGTTCTTGCATTCAAAATGCCCTGTTTGCACGTGTCTGTCCCGCATGTCCCCAAAGTTAGTAATTATGCTTATTTTATTTTCACTGTATGCCATTATCTTTTTTTGTGATTTTCTTTTTGTATTGGATATTAATAAAGAAGGTGATTAATTTACTTTATATTTTTTACCCATCGCGATTCATTTAACATTTCGAGTGTAAATGTAGATGTAAATTTATTGCCAAATTTGGAAGGGGTTTTCCTTAGTGATGCACCCTAAAAACCGTTAATTGGGACAGGTATCATTGGATACATTTATATTATTATTGAAAAGTATTGCTCAGGTAGTGGTGGACACTTTGTACCATGTTTGAAGAAAACAAATGAGTTATGTTGACATCAGATGGACAAAATGTAGACCTAGGCAGACTCAACGTTATTTTAAAACATTAACCTATACAAACGTTACTTCCCTATGTTTGCTTTACTCTTGTATTGTTTAAATGAAATTGAAGATAATATTTTTTTTTACATTTGTTTCAGGGCTCTTGCTTGTCTTTTTTAAAGGGATAGTGTACACCAATCATGTCAAACTCAAAGGCTAGCACGAGCCACATAAACAAGGTTTAAGTTTATGTGGGCTGCAAAAACAAAACAAAACCTTAAATTTTCATAGAAACGTAGCTTAGTTTTGAAATGTACAGTATAAAAAAAAATCTGCACCCCCCTCTACTAAACTTCAGTCCCCACCACTGAACTAAATCCCAGTCCCCCCCCCTGTACTAAATCCCAGCTACCTCCCCCACTACATCCCCCACTCTACTAAACCCGTGCCCTTGTTTAAAAAAAACCAAAACAATATTGCCCAACAAGCAAACTCCACTCACATTGCCGCTGCCAGTGTGCGACTCTGGAGTCCAGCCTCTGGTATACCCCCAATGGCGCAGTCCACACCCTGGGCCAAAGTGGATCCTTCCGCAACTCCTTGAAAATTTGTGAAGGTGGAGAATGTTGATGTCACGTCGGAATGTGATGTGGCATTGCCTCCATGCACCTCCAGGTCCTCCACTGTCCAGCCACGGCCATCGCAACACTGACCAAGACACACTGACCGACACACACTCACTAACAGACACACACACACATTTCCACATTCTTGCAAACACTAGCATCTTTTGATGTATTGCTCACTACCTTTGGAAGCTGGTGTGGGGCCTCTTCTCTCTGGAGCTCAGTCTTCCTGCTCCTCACTGCTCCCTTGCGCGCAGTTTAGTGATGCCGGTTGCTGGAATGACATCATATTCCGGCACCCGGCATCACTACAGAGGGCGCGCGTGAGGTAGCAGTGAGGAGCAGGAAGACTTTGCTCCCTCGCTGCCGCCATGGACCTCTCCTCTGGCCGGAACCGGGTAAATTTGAGCAGAGTAGGCACCTGCAATGTAAGGAGAGCAGGTGCCTACTCTGCCTTACTAATCATAGCAAACTCGCGGCTTGCCGGGCCGCAAATATATTCATTGTGGGCCGCATACAGCCCGTGGGCCAGGAGTTTGACATGCTTGGTGTACACACTATTTGTATTCTTGCAGCAGGTGGAGGACTTGTTTACTTTTTTAGGTTGCGCACTTAATTTCTGTTTGTTCAAAGCAATTATAACTATCTACATTTATAGCCGTTAACGATGCTATCAAGTAAACAGGCACTTTTACTTGCATTTTTGAAGTGTGTTTCCACCTTTGACTGGTTGTAGATCTATTATCCTTGTTCCTCAAACTAAGAAAAAAAATGGGCATAATTCCTCACTAGCGATGCCCACAATAAGCAGGCCTACCCAGAAAAGGGGAAAGCCAGTCTAATGAGAAGCTGTCTGGGCAGCCCCTAGTCTTCAGGACCAAGTGTGGAGCACTCCACTGTCATATTAGCACAAGAAATTATTCACAATAATCACTCCGATTACATAGATTTACTTGGACTTAACGTGTACCAAAAAGTAAAAATGTTTATCTCTCTTTTTGATACAAAAACTACCATATCTATGAAAGGAAAATTCCCAGAAAGTCCCGTACTAAACACAGTTATCATGTGTTTGAATGGAAGAGACTGTGAGAGTCTTGGGAGAGACTGTATTATAATCCTAATTACATAATCAAATCATATGACAGATTAAGGTCAGAATTTAAAGTCCTGTTATTTCCCCTTTTTTCTCCTCTGTATTCCTATTGAACCATTTTGAAAAATGCAATAAACATTACCATGAAGTTAGGTTTGCCTGGATTCAGAGAAACTGTTTAAGGGGCTCTATGGGACATATTATAGTAAATTTGCAAAATTATTAAGTCATGTGTTATATTTTGAGATTCCCCCCCCCCCCATAAGTTCTTATAAGCATGCAGGCTGTATGGATTTGGGGTATCTCTGTCATCTAATGTAACTAATCACATTACCATTGTTATTAGTAGTTTTCTATGACCTCAGCTTAAACTTCACAGTAACAAGCAGAGCCGGATTAACATAGGGGCTGATGGAGTTGCAGCTCCAGGCCCAGGCCCATGGCATAGGCCCATTTAAAAAAAAAAAAATTTAAACTTTTTTTTTTTTTTACACTTTTTTTTTTTTTCACACACACTACTCTTAGGTTTGCCACATGACTGGTATTTGAGGTTGCCTGGCCGTGCCAGTATTGCAGTAATAACGGCAATACAAATGCAGATATTTTTCTCAGTATAAACAGAGATAACTCTGCAATACCAGCACCGCCCAGTAGGGGTCGCAGTGTGTGGAGATGTTGTAGAATTATTAGGCCTCTATAAATTTGTAAGGCCCCTTTAAATCCTCTTGCTATACCTCTAAGAGGCCCCCATAGTTTTACAAGGAAGCTTTGTCTATAGAACATAGAATTTGCATGTCAGCAAGAAATAGCTTTGATAAAATGTGTATTTACTAAAATCCTTGAAACTTAACCTTGAGAAACTAACAAGTGCCAGCTACGCTCCAAATGGATAGCTGCCAAAAGGCCCCTCCCGTCGAGTGAGCTCCTCATTTTAACAAAATGGCGCTAAGACCTGTAGGAGTTAAGAAATTACGTAGATAGTGACCTAAGAATGGGGAGGGCATTTTACTAACATCTTAGCACCTAAGCCAATTAACAATGTCTATTTGTCTATATCTTGATTTTCTTCAATGATGTAATAATGCCTTTATAAGGGTCTGCGCACCCATTTTCTGTCAGAAGCCATTAAACTTCTCTGAAGTTCTTTCATTACCCTGAACCTTGTGTCTCAGTGTGAATTTACTTCTGCGTGCACGCAACTTTATTATCTTTAATTTGGACAGGAACAGATAGTCATTCAAACTAATTGGTTTGCAGTAAATTATCTAGAACAATTGGCGCCCAACGTGGGGCTCTGGGCTATGTCCAGTCTGGGCAGCTGTCCAAGAAGACGCTGGGGGGGCTGAATCCTGGGGGAAGGAAAAGAGCCTGATCACCTCTGAATACACGGTAGAGATTGCTGCAGCACCTAGCCGGTATGTTCCTGCCCCTGTGATTGACCTGTCCCAGTGTCTGTGACTGCTGCCGAGAGGACATCAAAGTCAGGTAATAACTTGCCCAGAGTCTTTGTATTGTTAATGATACCTAGTTTACCTGCATGTTGACTATCTGTTGCCTGGGTGTGTTTGTATTGGTATGTGTTTAACTTAGTACCCGGGGAGTGTAAGTGCCTGTTTAACTCCTTTTAGGTACCACATGCCTGTGGTAGTAAGGAAAAAGGGGGGTGGACCTGTGGAAGTTTTCCTGGGGGTCCTCTATTGCCTGTTTAACTCTTTTAGGAGCCACGTGGCTGTGGCTGTAAGGAAAAAGAGTAGGGGGGATCTGTGGAGGGCAGTAGACTCACTGCTTCCTGGGGATCCCCAGAGTGTCATTTTGACCGCTTAGCTAGCCTCATCAGACACTTCTTCTTGGTAAAATTCCAGTCTCAAGCGCTGAGGCAGGTAAGATTCCAATTCTTTAGGCTATACAGGATTCGGGTTGGAAGCTGTTGCTGTTTCCTGTGGCTGCTGGTAGTGAGACTTGCGGGTGGGTCCGCAACAGGGACAATACGAGGTTGAGGGAGGTGGCTTTTGGCCACACGAGTAAAGGCAAGGGATAACACTGTTGAACTTATTTGAACTGTGATGCATGCACTGTATTTACACTGAAATGTTATTGACTTAATTGTCTGTCACACAGATTCCTGTGTTTACTTTTATCTTACTCACTGTACTATTTTCACTTTCCCCTCCTATTTCTCTTTCTCTGTTGAGAGAAGTGATTGGTCACACACTTCTCGCCACGCTCCAATCCGCGGCTACCACGGGTAGGCGGAATCAGTGACTAGTCTACGTTTTGGGAAGACGTACTTAAAGAGCTTGCTCTTAAAGTAGCAGTCGAGCACGGTAGACATTCTGTTCCTTTCTCTCTCTATATCTGGGACGCCTTGTATAGGGAATATGGGACAGAAACTGGGAAAACCCGATAAGGGTTGGCTAGCACGAGACTTGGTAGAAGATAGGGAAGGTGAAGAGATGGTTAAGAAGGTTGATAAGATTGCTAAAGTATGTGGCATCACGGTACCCCCGTGTGGTAGATTGCAGCCAGAAAGCTGGCGTAAGATACTGACAGAGAAGAAAGGCAAGTTAATGGACAATGATTTAGTCCGCACAGCGGAAGCCTGGTACAGAGTAGCCAAAGCCATCCAGCAAGAGGGATGGATTGAACAAGAGGTTGATTACAAGGGTGTGAAAATGTTTGTGTATCATAAGAATTTTGTCACTGGAAATTCTCCCCAGCACGCGCCTAGTTATGGCACACATGAGGTGGCCACCCCTTTCCCTGACACTACCCCTGTTTGCCCTGTCCTGAATGCCGATGGATCTGTATTTTCCCCTCCATCGATTTCCCAACTCCCATCATCCTCATCCCTTCCTTTACCACGCCCATCTTCCTCCAGTCCATTGCACCCCTCCAGCATGCCCTCCTCCCGCCCGTCCTCTCCTGCCGTCCCACCTGCCTATTCATCTTCCTCCTCCCCTCCTACCGACCCACCCTCTCCATTTTCTCCTCCTCCTACTACTCCCTTACTTCCTTCTTCCGTATTCTCAGACCCTCCTACTCCACCCTATCCTCCTCCCACTCCTCCAGCTCCTCCTACTCCACCCTATCCTCCTCCCACTCCTCCAGCTCCTCCTACTCCACCCTATCCTCCTCCTACTCCACCCATTCCCAGTCCCTCCCCCTCCCCGTCACATCCTCTCCCTAATCCCTACCCACCGCCACCGCCCTACGCCTATTCTGCCTATCCGCCCGCCCAAATGCCTTGGCCTATGCCTATTCCACACTTCCGCCTCCCCAGCCCGCCTATCCCGTACCTCCCATATTCACACAGCCGACCCCGATTACACCTGCCCACACTTTGCCCACATCCAATATGGCCGCCACTTCCTCACTTAACCCGAACGCAACTTCCTTCCACGCCTCCAATATGGCGTCCCCCAGTAACATAGCCCCTCTTATGCCCGTTCTTCCGAATGATCTGCTACCTCCACCCCATAGCTCACCAGCAGCCCCGGCTGGTGGAGTGCCCCTTCTACCCCCGGCCCTGTCACCACAGGTAGTTCCCTCCCCGGGAGTCCGGATAGCACATGCAGATGAATTTGACACGGTAAGCTCCCATGGTTACCAGTCCCCACCAGACTCCAGGGAGATTTCGCCCCAACCTCCGCGACGTTCTCTTAATGATCCCTTTGGTCGCAGGGTTCAAGGGGACAAAGCCCCGGTAATGTATGTTACCTTTAACCCAACACAGGCCAGTGCCCTGATGAAGTCACTCCCTGACCCAGAAAAGCAACCTATGCCCTTTTACAGAGCAGTGGTCCAGATTCAACAGACCTATTCCGCCGCATGGCGTGATTTGCTGAGCCTCTGTGCCATTAAGGCTGGAGATGCCTACTGGCCTAGCATTGCTCGCCACCTATGCACTAATTGGTTGTCAAGTGATACTGATTATACGTCCGGACTTGAGTTCTGTGATCAGCTAAAAGCTTGGGCCAAAGATAAACTTGCTGATCAGGCAGCCGGACTTAATGATATTGTCCAGGAAAAAGGTGAATCCGTAGAGAGGTTTCACGCTAGGCTCTTTCAAGTATTCTCTGACCTAGGGTTTGAACTTAGCAATAAAATACATGCCCAAATGCTTTCTGGTGCCTTTGTACAGGGCATCAAAGACTCTATACGGAAAGGTATTATTGCTGCCCGCCCTGAGTATAGAGTGGTTTCCCTTGATAAGCTGCTTTTAGTTGCCCGTGGTTTGGAGGCAGCACAGGTGCCAAGAAGATCCAATCCCACCCCCCTTATGGTATCACGCCCGCCGATTCCCAGAGGCACTAGGCCTGAGGATGGAATTTGCTTTAATTGTGGGGTGAAAGGCCATTTTAGAAGTGACTGCCCTGAACCCATAAAACACCGGAGGCCATACGCTGGCAAACAAACTTCCAAGCCCGCCACTACCACGAAGGCCCCAGAAACCCCTTCACCTGATTCAGCCCAAGAAGACTAGGACACCGGCAAGCCTGTGTCATTAACCCCTGTTATGGCAGTGTCTTCAGGGGAACAAGGGGGGCCTCTTGCTACTGTAATTTTACCCATTGAGGGCCAGCCCACCACTTTCCTAGTTGACACAGGTGCAGCCCGAAGTGTTCTGAGAGAACAAGACCTGCCCGATGCCTCATTTCTTTCCAATATTGATGTCTCCTGTGTTGGGGTGGACGGCCTTCCAAGGCAAAGTCCCCTGTCCACCCCACTGCGGGTTGGTAACTGCCACAACTTGCTTGCTCGCTTTGTGGTATCTTCCACATGCCCCATTAACCTGTTAGGAGCTGATGTTCTTTCACGCCTGCAGGCATCCATCACCTTTACTCCAGATGGACAAGTGGAACTATCCACCCCTCTATCTGTCTCAGACACCTCAGCTTTGTGCTCCTTACCCCTGATGCTACATCTAGAAGAGCCTCATGGGGATGCAAAAGACCTAAGGACTAATTTCCCTGATTCACTAAAGACTGATGTTCCCAAGAAGCTGTGGTCCACAGGCCCAGAGGACATAGGCCATCTAAAGGTCCCGCCTGTGGTGGTAAAGCTCATCCCAGGCGTAAAATTGCCACGAAAATCACAGTATCCTTTGAAACCAGCTCAAGCTGCAGCCATTACAATTCAAATTCAAGCACTCCTGGAGAAGGGTGCTCTTGTCAAATGTGAATCACCATGCAATACTCCATTATTTCCAGTAAAGAAAAAGACTCCAAAAGGCGAACCAGAAAAGTACAGATTGGTCCAAGACCTCAGAGCGGTAAATGAAGCCACAGTTTTGGACACTCCAATAGTGCCCAACCCACACACTCTCCTTTCCGGCGTTCCACCCTCTGCCAAGTACTTCACTGTCATTGATCTAGCCAATGCCTTCTTCAGTGTTCCCCTGGATCCAACTTGCCAATATCTGTTTGCTTTCACACATGACAAACAACAGTACACATGGACTGTCATGCCCCAAGGGGCACAAAATTCACCAAGTCAATTTGCGAAGGCCATGTGCTCTATCCTTGATCCATGGCAATCTGACCATCCTGAGGTCGTCCTGCTTCAATATGTGGATGATTTGCTGCTTTGTGGAGATGATATACCCACAACAGAACAATGCTCACTTAATCTTCTTTGCTACCTAGCAGAACAAGGATGTAAAGCTTCACGTCTCAAGCTGCAATTCTGCCAACCTACTGTTATTTTCCTTGGCCATTGTCTGTCTCAGGGAACCAGACATCTTACCCGTGACCGAGTTAGAGCGGTACTGGACATTCCACCTCCAAGGACCTCGAAGTCACTACACGCCTTCCTAGGCCTCATTTCCTATTGCCGAGCATGGATCCCAGAAGCCTCGCTCCTTATGCAACCTCTTTATGATGCTCTCAAGTCAGACCCATTTTGCTTGTCCACAGAAGCCCTTGACAACTTCTGTTCTCTCAAACGTGCTATTGCTTCTGCTCCTGCTCTTGGCCTACCAGACTATACCAAACCCTTCAAATTGTTTGTTTCTGAAAGACAAGGCCATGCAACAGGAGTACTCACTCAGGCTCATGGTCCTGGAGGCCGCCAAAGGCCTATTGGATTTTTCTCCTGCCAACTGGATATTGTGGCCAGAGGACGTCCCTCTTGCCTTCGGGCCGTCTTTGCTGCCAGAGAGCTCATTGAAAGAACTGGAGATCTTGTCCTTGGCCACCCCCTGGTTGTCTTGGCCCCTCATGACATTTCTGCCATAGTCAACCAGGTCCAGCTTAAGCATGTTACTCCTGCCAGGCATCTTCGCCTTCAATGTCATCTTTTGTTGCCTGACAACATTACCCTCCAAAGATGTCAAGTTCTCAATCCGTCCACTCTTCTGCCACTCCCTGAGGGGGGTGTATACTACGGATTCATCATGGACGAAATTTATGTTTCTCTTCTCACTGGCACCATCAAGAAGGAAATGCATCCCAACCTATCCTTTTATGATGGACAAGCACTCCTTCATGACGGAGCAAGACATGCCTTCTGTACCATGTGGTACAAACCAAACATCACTCCTGAACCCTGCTATGAAGATGAACTCTATAAGCTGGTTGAAGTAAAACTCACTGCACAAGACTTCTACTGTGATTCTGAAGGCAACAGTATGGTCTTGATTCATCTACCTCCGGAACTCAAGCATTTGTACCGTCATTGGGACACTGCCATTCCACATGTCCCTGTGACCAAGTTGAAAACAATATCATGGAATGATCTTGGGCCTATGGCAAAAGCATGGGCCACTATGGACGAATCACAGCTACAGGAAAATGGTGTTGTCAAATATCCAACAACTGACCACCTAAAAGCATGGCCACGTCATTTCCTGGAGAATGAGTTCCAAGATTTAACCATAGTGAATGACTACGACCCAGATACACCTCATGACTGTTTTGAACAGATGAAAATGGAAACGACACATCTACCAACTGTGCATGAAGACCCATTGGTAGATCCCGATCTCACCCTGTTTGTGGACGGCTCAAGATATGCTGATGAAGAAGGAAGATACCATACAGGATATGCCGTAACCACAACAGATGAAATTGTCAAATCATCATCTTTACCATCAACTATGTCTGCACAAGAAGCTGAATTGCAAGCCCTGACTTCAGCATGCAAGATCTCTGAAGGAAAGCGCGCCAATATCTACACGGATTCAAGATATGCACTGGGCGTGGCTCACGACTTCGGATTAATTTGGAAAACAAGAGGATTTCTTACCACCGCCGGTACACCAATCAAGCACGGTTCCGCAATC